ACAGCGAAAGTTATGACCAAACTGACTGATAGCGCTCGACATGAGCAACAACACTGATTTAAGTTAAACATGCCTTTCCGCTTACATAAGTCCATGTGGGAGAGAGAGTGACTTTTTAGGCATAGTACGCTGTGTTTTGGTTTATTTTAAATAGAATCTATTGATAGCCCTTTAATGAGGTTTTACTGGAAAGAAAAAAAAAACCATTTGGTTTGTTTTTTTATATAACATTCTTGCCTCTGATGACCTATTGCGCTTTTTTGGTTTTTCAAAGAGGGTTAGATCTAAATCCTCTTCCCTTTCACTTCTCTTCCTCTACAAACTTACATGTCTCAGCTCTACATCTGTAACAAGGCACACACAACGCTGTCACTCCATTTTTATTTTCTGTCTGTTTAACTCCATGTCCCCGTCTCTCTGTCCTCACTTTTTCCACTCTGATCTCTACGGAATAGCAGCAGCCTGTGGCTTAGCACATTAACGCACAAAACTCCGACACAAAGTGGACGCCAGCGGTCTTGTATTGATCAAAGCTTTAAAAGCTTTAAACTGAGATGCACCTTGCATCACTGTTAAACAGAGAGCTCAGTCCTGGGGTGCTCTGACTCATCAGTCCTCTGGGCTTTTAGCTGTGCATCCAACTGTTGCATTATGTCTTGTCTGATGAGTTTCAGAGAGCGGATTTGCAGAGTTGCGCATGTTTGAGTCCCGTTATCTTTGCAGGGATGCAGGATTTGTTTCAAATAGCAATTTGTGGTGTTTTGTTCTCGATTGGTTTATCACATGTATCAATGCTGTAGTGTAATTTGGAAAGTACATTGGTTACATTTTATTGGGCAATAATGGCGCTGAACAAAATCACAGGTGTCACTTTTACTATGGTTGCCTTTTACCTTATCTCACTGAGCCTTATTTAGATTGGCCACCAAGAGAGACGAAAGTTCTTTGACCTATGATTTAGCAATGTCAAGGCGCAGGTGTCATTATGCTCTCCCTCCTCATCATCCTTCATTTTACCCCCCTGACTCCTTAACCTTTTAGTCCCCCCTTCTTGTTTGCATCCCTCTCCATGTATCTTATTCTAACTCTTCCCTCGCAAACAGTGCCAGATATGTGTCTACGCTTGGTAGGTCGACTCCAGACAGGTTATAAATAACTATCTGAGTTTTTGCTTCATGTCCTGAGAGCTCTACTTTCTTCTCACACTTGAGGAACCATGGGAAAAGAATCTTTCCCTTACGCACATGGTGCTCATAATAACAGACACAGTTGTACATAAAACCTTCAAGCCCCTGCACCCCTTTGCAAGCTTCGCACAAACACAGAGGCACAGTTATGCATGAACACAAAGAATAAAACTCAGTGGCTTACAGAGTAAGGTTGTAGCACTAAAATAGCAAGGGAACTGTTTATAATGAAACAAAACCTGAAGTGTGGGAATGCAGAGAGCATTTCTACTGTTGTGTAAGTATGGAAATGTTGTTGGAACAACAGAATAGATTAAAAGTATGGGATAGCGAAAGAACAAGAAAACAATCAAAGTGGAGCAAAAAGGGAAAAATCTAAAGTTGCATCAAGGGTAAGCGTTTTGTTTAATGATGTGTTTTAGGAAATAAAAAGGGGTTCTTGTGAGTTTATGCGCAGAGGAGTGATAGTGAAACAGTGTTAATGTGGACTATAGCTGGGAGTCGAGGCGAATTCAGGGGTTGGCAGGTCAGACTCTGCTGACACACCGGGATCAGCGATGGGATTGTTTCCATTGGAAAGAATTCCAAGAATGAGCTAGAAGAGCTATCAGTGACTTCACTCGGAGGACTCTGACAGCAGTTTTAATACACAGCCAGGCGCACACGCTCTCACACACTTTTAAAGATACTGCATCTCATGCCAACAATGGTGTGCGAGACACACTCCCCCCCCCCCATGTCACAGGGTTCTCAGTGACTCTGACCAAGCAGTCATCTTACAAAATGAATGCTGTCACCTCTGACCACAAACGCTACAGTTAGCAAAAAAGATTTACAGTGTGAAGAAACTTTGACTGAATATAAGATGAATCTAAATTTAATAGAAAAGTATGCTTAGAAATGATGCACATTTTGGGAAACATTTACTTTAATTTACCTAAAAACAACATAACTGAGTAAGTTAGAGCTGAGTTTTCACTGTTTTTTCAGATAGCAAAATGTTGGTGTGCTGTAGAAGTCCTTAGTGATAGGTTTAATTCACAGTGGCTTTGCAACACAACAAAAAAATCTGATGCAAATGGTGTTAAGTCCTGTCTTTTCACTTTCTTACTTTTCAGCATTATTAAAAAAAAAAAAAACACGAATGAGGAAACAGCTTGAACTTGTTTCAAGGAACATTTTAGGGTGTTACGGATAAACATTCCTGCAGTCAGATCTTAACTTGTCCTGATGAGGGTATTATAACTTTATTGTTCTGCCATTTGCTTGTCTCAGTTTGGTTTTCAGAGTTAGGTTTGAAGGGGAAAAAACAAATACAGTTTGCAGGGTTGCAAAAAGTCTAACTTCAAAGGTTCTTTACTGAGTTAATCAGCTACAAAGTGACTGAAGAAAAAGAGCTGAAAATAAGAACTGCTTAAAATGTCAAAGTTCCATGGAAAGATGCTGGAGGGCCCGCTTTCATATCTCCCTTAACCTCGGAAACACAGGACCTTTCTTTATTAAACCTGACGTATATTGCTTTCTTCAGCAATATTTGACGGACGCCGTGGAGTTCAGAGGTCTCTGGCTGACGTCATATGATTGCGTAGCTGGATGCAAGTTCAGTCAGCTTCCCCAAGGGCTGTAGTTATCCTTTTCTAACTTCTTGTAATTTCTTCTTTCCATGATCTCATGACTTTTTCCACTGAGATCAAGAAACAGCTATTAAGAATGTCACAAAGGACATTCATTTTCTAGTCTATTCAAAACCAGACGTGGCGGCTTCCTGGGCCAGACACACACATTCTGCAGCCGACCACCATTATCAGCTGGGGGGTATTAATAACTCTTTATGTTCCATTTTTTTCCAGGAAGAAGGAAGCAGGACAGAATGACCTTTCATTGTTCCATTTCCAGGAAGTGACCCTAAGGCCCCAAGAGTACCACCTTGGCCAGTATATGAGGCCCTTGGCCCCCAAAGGGCCTACTGCAGCAACTCTTATGAACTATTCCCAGTACCAGGCAATCCAAGCTGACCTCGAGGGTCACAAATAGAGCACATGGCAGCAAATCACCTGAGAAGTTTCCATTGTAACAGTGATCAGAAAGCTTTTTGCTTAGTCCCTTAACTCCACCCCCCCCAGTTCCCGGTTACAGCTTTTCCACTCAACCACATTTTATTAGTCTCGTTTCATTCTGGAGAGTGTTTATGAGTAGTGCTTGAGGAGCTGCTTCCTCGGGGTAAGACAGCGTTCTATCCTTAATTTTGCAGAAAATGGTGAAGTCTTTCAAAAAAACTGGCAGGGAAACCCATCGTTCTTTATACTGCTGGATAGCACCACCTTATTTTAAACGTACCATTTAAAAAATAAATACATTTTTAAAGAACTTAAAATGAAGTCGGTTCAGTGTTCAGGAATGAGGTTTTGCTTATACTAGGTGTAACACTGTGTGCAAGCTGTAGACAGGAAGTAACATGCGGCCTGCTCTCGCTTCTATATATACACACACACATATATTTGATACATGCATCTGTTTTCGTAGAGAGAGAGAAAGAGATTCTGTATGCGAAACCGCTTTTCTCTAACCATTGCAGGTGAAGTGAATAGAGAGAAGGGGGGGGGGGGGGGGTAGGGGTTAAGATAGAGAATGTAAGTAAACACTGAAGTAAAGTCTCTTGGAAGATACTTCAAATGTGCTGGAGGACTACCCCTCTAAAAACAACCATTAACTTGTACTGTAAACATGGAAGTCAGACTCACACAGCTGGATAGCAAATTCAAATGTTTATTTACAGCCTTTGTAATAGTCACTGAGAAGAGTGGTCTAAATACAAAAATAATAGGGAAAAAAAAAAAAACAAAACAAGAGAAAGATGGCGGCTTATCTCCCTGAGCTTTACAAAAACAATGTGGGACCTGCAGGTGACAGGAGAGAGAGATGTTCTGTACACAGCCCTAATGCCACAAAATGAGAAAATACAAAGACAATATCTCAGACATGCTTCTACAACAGTTAGAAACTGACCCCACATACACCAAGTCATGATGACCGAGTGGAGAAGAACACAGAAACACTGTAGGCAAATAAACTGACATTACTACCAGAGAACCAGTAACAATATTAACAGCGTTCGGCAAACATCAGGAGTTCCAAGAGCGACGTGAACAAAGATTACTTCTGCAAACTGTGGCCCACGGTGCGAATTCTCTACAACCTGTACTTCATGGTGTTGCTTCAAAAGTATGGCTGTTTAAAAAACAACAACAAAAAAAAAACAAGAGGAAGACTGGGAAAGACCATCAAATGTGTACAGCTCAGAGTGAATCTCAGACTTTGTCTTTCTAAAAAGTTAGAAAGAAATCAAGAAAAAAAAAAAAAAAAAAAAAAAAAAAAAAAAGACGATCAGTGCACTACAAGGCCTCGGGAGTCGGCTCACTAGGAACAAGTATTTACATATCCTTCATTGGGTCTGTGCATTGCTTTATTAAGTGCTTTTCAAAATTTAACATTTCCCATCCTTATTCAGCTTTTCTCTTTGAACAGCAGCCTGTCGGTGACACTTTTTGTTCTCAGTCAGATCATTTTGCTGCATCATCAAAATACTGTCCATCATAAGGCTTTCAGGAGGCCAGTGTCATGAGGGGGATCATAGCATAACTTGACTTTGGTACATAACGGGGGAAAATGAACACGTCCCACATATATTTATCATGCATACCATTTTTCACCTCTGATTTTCATAACACTTTCCCCCCCCCCATTTATTTTTTTAATTTCTTTAAATGCGAGTGGCTGACAGTGAAGGACACCCCCCCCCCCAAAAAAAAACCCTCCCAAAACCAAAACATTCCCAACAACATTTTGCACAAAACCCATTCAACAGACAAGTCACAAAGTTTCAGCTTCTCCAGAACAGACAAGTCTACAGCAGTGGCAATTACAATAATAATAATAACATAGCAAACCAGATTCTGAACACAAACATTGACAGTGTACTGTACAATAATTCCCACGGGTACCACAATAGTTCTGCATACAAGTAGGAAGCCTCTGGGGTCATGACGCCAGCCATTTTGAAGTTAGGTACAGAGCAGTAGTAGCATCCTGCAGTGCGAGACCTGTCCATGGAGCACTGAGCTGCCGCTGTCCAACAGGACATCTGGTCTGGGCCGAGACACACACGGTGGTAAGAAGTAGGTGAAGGTTAGAGGTGTGCATTGTCTGATCTCTTCAAAGTCTGTTTTTGATTGATTTGCAGTCCAGGAGGATACGTTACGATGTCATAAAAGTGTGTTTATGTGTGCATATTGCTTCTCGCGTGGAGGGATTTGTTTTTCTTTTTTGGTGTCATGGGAAACGAGACGGCATCTGTCAGTTGAGTGAACTGGAGTGCTGATGTGAAGTATAACCAGTGTATGAAACGGGACAGTCCATCAGAAAGAAGAAAGAGTGTATGGGTGCTATAACACAGCCTCTAGTGCTGCGAGTTCTGTGCTGGCTGTCCATTTTGAATGCTGCTATTCTGTTCCTCTTCTTCCTCTTCGTCCTCCTCCTCCTCCTCACTGACCAAAAACTCCTCTGGAGGCCAGCGAAGCTCCCCGCTCTCAACTTCTCCTTCTGTCGGCTCAACCACAATGGATGGGAGGCGATCTTTGAGCTTACAGCAGCGGTCAAAATCCGAGGGGTCTGGGAATATCTGTAGAGAAAATACACAAATGGTTATTCATCTGTCATTAGCTGAACGGGGATACTAGTTGAGCTCTGAAATGTAGTGGAGCGTCAGCTATCCCCCCCAAAAAAGTTATTTGTAAGCAAGGCTTTTGGATTCCTACAACTTAACTTGAATCTTGTGCAAGTGTTGCAGGCGCCACTATAGGGCTGCAACGAAGGAGGAAGTGATGCGAAGACTAAACATCTGCGATAGGAACGGGTTGATTAAAATCCCAGTGGCATACCTGTGCTTACCCAACCCACATTCCTTCAGTTATACCAGCTTTCTGCATAGATGCTGCACAAGGGTCTGTATGGGTAAATGAGGCATCTCTAGCAGGACTTAGGATAAATGCTGCCTCATGTTTAATCTCAATGTCTTGGAAGGAATTGTGCCAAGCAGCTCATAGCCGCTTATGAGCGTCACCCGCAACTCTGAGGATTATACAATAGCATAATCATAACATTTTAAACCAAGAGTTAAAAAAAAAAAAGTAAAATTTCACTGCGACATGATTTGTGCATAATTAGGAAACCTATCCCTGTAACAGTCAGCTTTTGAATATTGAACACTTCTGTGGATGTAAAGTCAAAAATCTCTTCGGAAAGAACACGAAATCTGTTGCGTTATCTGCAAATCCATGTATGCTGATAAATGTGGAGTGTCACACTAAAATATTTGGATCTGAACTGAAGGGCATGAGAGACAGACTGACAACAGAGATTACACGCATTCCCTGTCCTGGCAAGATTTGACATCAACCTCAGACTTTCTCTGTTCTCAGAAACAGGAGGAATGGCCCAGGGGAAAAAAGCCTGCCACTCCTGGTCCAAGAACAGCATTTTTTTCCCCCCCTCTTTTTTGCTGTTGTTTGGATAAAGTGGATGAATATTTTTAGACCTGCATATTTCATTCCTAGACATTTGGGGGTGGGGTAAAGGGGGGCGATGTCGCTGTCTGGGCATAGAGCCGAGTGGAAAGAAAGCATTAGATGGGGCAGGAGAGAAAGTGAGACAAGAGATAGAGGAGATCCAGCTGTGTCCAAGTCTCCATGAATTCCATAGGAGACAGATGAGAAGGGAGGAAAAAGAGCTAAGAAAGCAAACGAGGAAAATCTCCCAGGTTATAAAAGGTTGTACGTGTCCATTAGTCATTTTTGTTTTACATTCTTCAAACCCAGGTGCATAACAAACTGTGCCAAGTAAATGCCATGTAATTATGTGTGCACGCAGATCCGTATTTATGTGTAATGCTTGAGTCGATCTGCATTTCTGGCCAGCATCGCTAATCCTCACTGTGCGTCAGCACCAAGGGGAGTTGGGCAGTGAGTGACCTTGCCTTCGGACCCCTAGCTAAAACATGTAATCACTTTCACTTCCAATGACAGGAAGTGAAGACACATCACCCAGGCACAATGTAGGCTATTTTAAGCTCTTCTAGCGTGGTTAGTTGTGAATCATGACATTGCCTTGTGATAATTCAGAAAGTCAACATCTACTCAGTTTTCACCATCTAGTATCATAGCTCATATTTATTTTAGTAGCTTTTGTAATAGCATCTGGGATTTCATGGCCATGGTTACTAGAGTCAAAGTCCTAGGAACTCATAATAGAGGAAGCTACTGATGGAGCATCACCAGTTCATACAGGGCTTCTCTAAGGAGATCCTGGGACATTGGGCAGGATAAGGATAGAAAGAGTGAGGGAGTGACACACTGGCACCCTCCTTTTCTCTTGGCCCCTCTCAGACAGACTCACAGCTGTGGTGTGAATTGAGTGGAGAGGAAGTGGGCCTTTTCCTCTAGGTCAGTCTACATCCTCTCTGAGTCATAGTCTTCACACACAGCTCTATACGGTTTATAAATGCACCAAACACACAGTTTGACACTATAATGAAGTTTTAAATGATCAAAATGAACTTAACAGGAGATGACCTCTTTGATAAGTATTCCATCTTCATGTTAATTTCCCTCCCGTAGAGTATTGACAGAAAGCCTTTTAATTTTTAGACAGTAAAATAATGAAGCAGCTGCATATTCAAATAATTTCATTTCTAAGATGACCCTGCTCAGCTGACAGCAAAACAAAGCCTTTGGCTACAACTTGTCAAGACCACCTGATAGCCGCTTTTAAAAACACTAATCTGTTGAGGGTTTATTTTTGTGACGGACCTCGGATAATTTGAATGTGCAGACCTCGGACAAGTCAGTCGGATAGACAGACTTTTAGGCTGTAACAACTATAATCTGCAATGTCCTTTCCATTACATATTAGAATTTTAAAGAAAGAAACAGCACAAGGGCTGTGCAATTTAGCTATAATGCTTTCTTATCATCGTAATCTCAGTATCTAGGTGGGCATTCTTGCTTTATCTTAAAACACAGATTTTTATCTGTAATAATTCTAATATTTGCTTCGCTCGTAATGATGGAAGAAAGAAAATAATCACTATATCATTAGATGATACTCAGATTCAAGATAATAAATGGATAAAAGCAGATATGAAATGACAATGCTGCATAAAAATGCACAGGCTGGGAATTTGGAAGGAAGTGCTGTTTATCTGTCATGCATGCACGTGTGTCCTACCTGGAAGGAGAGTCTGTCCTTGCTGGGGCTGAGCCTCATGTCCTCCATGGGGGTGCTGTTGATCATCACCTCAGTCATATCTCGGCTGGGCACAAACACTGGGCTGTAGGGTTGAAAGAAGAAGACAAGCAATGTGATTAGACACAGTGACGATCATAGCACAGTTGCCCGGCATCTGCAGAGAAAATAAAAACACTAAGAAGATTTATAGTGTTGAATTATCCAAATGTTTCTAATCAATAATAATGTAATCCCCGTGTATTTTGTATGGCATACTACTGCGCAGACTGTATACAGTGAAGATAAACGGATAAAAGTTCAAAGGCTATAATAACTAACACAAGCATGCCAATGAGAGAGAGAGAAACACTTATCAAACCATCTATTTGCAGCCCAGGTCTGAAAGTTATGGTTGATCTATTTCCCTGCTGATGTTTGACAGTTTTGTTTATACTCTGCACATCTCCACCACAACACAACACGCATCCAGTCCGTCTGCTTTGCTAATGCACTGCAAAGCTGCAGAGCTCATGATGCGGCTTGCATAAGGTGGCCGTTTCTCAATACAGAGTGATGTGCTCTTGCGCTAGCAACCAGAGAACAGTCATTGTGAGAGTGTGCTGGGGGCGTGCTGTGGTATTTGACTGGGGAGGAACTTGATGCACTCAGTTCCATCAAAGCTTGGCCAAACTTTCCATTTTAGATGAAAGTAGCAAGAGGTTGTTTATCCAAGCTCAGTGCATTCACTATCCAGCATTGTCGCAGTAACGCTTAAAGCAGGTCCCAAGACTCGCATAGATGCTGTCTTGAGACAAGATGCTGAGCGGCCTTCTCACGCTCTCTATTTAAAGCCTGGTGCCTAGTGGTCAGTGGCCACAGGCTTGTGGTTTGTGTGGTCACTGGCTAAAAAGGACAAAGAAAATAGAGCATGCCAAGAAGCTCACTCACATGCTCACATTATCCAGTTTGATGGGCTTGCTTATTTATTTATTTTTTGGGACAAGATGTGTGGGCTTCACTTAACCTACTTTAAATCAGAAATTCAGACGGAGGGTTTATTTTTAGATGCATCAGAAGCATGAAAATTATATTTTTTTAAAAGGTAGGCTTTGGTGAAAATGGTATTATGGTATAACTTTTCTTTTTTAAGGATCTGCTGAATTCTCTGACAGAGACATATTTTATTAAAGAAATAAATATATATTGATAAGGGGAAAAAAACTGAAGTCTCTCTACAAACAAATCTGTCAAACCCTCACTTTCACTTCATCTGCCATTACATGGAATATATTATGTGGAATTTCTGCGTAAAGTACTGTTCTGCCTTATTATCTCCATGCATGACTCATTCAAAGCACAGCGTCCTGACAATCCCCTCTGCATTGCTTCAACCTCGATGTTTGAATGGAAGATTTTTATTGTTGACCTTTGTTTTTGTTTGAGAAATTGTCAAGATGACACCAACCCACAAGAACTTTATTACATTTTGTACTGAGAACACCTAACATTAAAAAGTTAAGAGAGCCACAGGCTAGAACAGCACTCAGATCATTCACTGACCCCTGGTACAACCCAGGATTTCTAGGTCTCCGCTTTGTGTATCTGAACCTTTAATCAGTACCGTCAACTTTTGAATGTAACACATGTACCTATACACATACTGCAGTTTCTATGTAGCCTAAATTAAGATGGGATTATTAACAAGGGGGACTGAATCATGAGATATAAGACCGAGATCTTTAACCCCTGGGGCATAGAAATAATCAATTTTTCCATCCCTAAATATACACAACCTCTTGTTGTTTCAGGAAGAAAGACTGCCATCATAGCAGGGTGTACAATGGCTCTGAAAATGTTAAAATTAAAAAGCTTCCGTCTGAATCACTGTTAAGTAACCTTTTCTGCGCTAGTGAGATGACTGGCCAGAAACAATAGCCGGATATCCAGGAATAAACCGAGGAGGCTTGAGGGATATGCAAGGTTTAGGATGGGGAAAAAAAAAAAGTCAGCTCAGGTTATTCTTTAACTAATATCATCGCTGAGTGGGGTTCAGAGGAGCGTGAGGCAGACATGCAAAAACAGCAGAGGTGGAGACAGAAGGATGACAGTGAAGACCTGAGCAGGAGGAGAAGAGGGGAAAGGGAGGGAGAGAAGGAAAAGAAAGATAAACACTTAGGACTTGCCAGTCATATTTCTGTTCGGGGATCTATAAACATCCTGCTCAGCTAAGAATAACAGAACATCAGCCTAATAAAACACTAAGGGGCACAATGAGGAGGAAGTAGGGGTGCACGAGTAACAAGTCAACCTGGGAGGAAACAAACATGCACAAATAGTCCTGGAATTACTGCTTCAGGTGTCAGGGAGGGATCGACGACATGCCCCTCTCAAAGAGGACGCAGGAGTTATCCAAGCAACCAAGTGGTATAGATTAGATGCATTCAGCATGACCGCAACTCGCACGCTTACATGTGACCTTAACAGAGTTAAGGAACAGACCGCCTATTTCTGTAAGCAAGAAACACATTAAAGATACATGATCTCAATGATTAATCGGTGAGTCTGGTGGTGCAGATGGCACTTAATCTCTTACCTCTTGACCCAGTCAGCCTAATGCATACCTGGTCCTGCCAGCTTCCTAATGCCTCAGCGAGCCAGGCCACAGATAGATAGCCAGTACCATCACGAGGCCACTACAGTCCAATATGTTCTTGACCATATGTCCAAAGTTTAGAGCAATTCAGTTAATTAGTTGATTGCTGGGTTCAAGCATAGCTCTTTAAAGCGCTTGCTGTACCAAATCTGCTCTACTTATTCCTAACAACGCTGACCTTACGCTGGAGCCTTTTCACATACAAACGACATGAACTTCTTTGGGTTTCTACAGGAAAGCCTTTCCAACTGCTGTCAAAAATCTTCCTTTTCAAAACGTGAACAAAAACTGAGTCTGCTTGTTAAACAAATGTGACGGTTGTTTTATTCACCTGTCCCTGAACTTCAAAGAGGCTAGCTCCATGCTAGTTCCTTGCTTCTCTGTAGTGACGCTGACTGGAGCCCAAATGGTCTTTGCAACAATCTCACGCCACAAGAGGAATGTGAAACTTGCATTATTAACATTGTTTCCCCTCTGAACACCCCTGCTAGTCCTTACTACTACTACGACGATCATAAATCTAATGCAATGTGGCAAACACAGAGCAAAGCTGATGAGGTTCAGTGCCAAGTGCTGTGCTTTCCACCACCCAAGTCACCCAGCTCTGCAGGTATGCGGGGCTCAATGAGTAGGACCCTCAGAAGTGAGCAGGAACAAATGAGTTGAATCCAGATTCCTGTGGGCTGACCATCACTGAAAACACATCATATATCAGTGTCCTCTGCGATGTATGTGGAAAATTATCTCTTTACACTGTTGCCAAGTGCTTACTCATATTGAATAGTTTGAGAAACTCAACCAATGGAAGACATTTTTCTCTTTATATGTGATGTAGTATTTTATACAAGATGATGGCATTTTGGGAGAGAAATGTCTTCTTGTTGGCACAGAGAAAGGCAAAGACTTCAGTGCAGCATAACAATCTTGTTTCGCACTCTGAAACAGTTACACCACTCTGATAAAACTAAAGAAGTGAAGGTTTCTGACAGCAGTAACATACAAAAGACAGAAGCGCAAGCCTACTGTAAGTAAGCTCAGGCGAGAAAGCAACGTGTGGTTAAAACAAAGAGGTCGATTTTGAACTTCCTGGTAGAGACAAACAGAGGCCTACTGAGGTTTTACCAGTGCTTGCAAAACCATTTTTTTTTCAAAGCAGCTTGCATATCCTCTGTAAAGAAAGGAAAATATTTGACAGAAGAGAATTAAAAATGCCCGAACAAACAAAGACACATTCCTTATTCCTCCATCAAAGAGTGAATTATGGAGTCATGGTAAGCTACTGATTGCCGGCTATGGAAAATGTAACACTGATAACAGATATTAGTAATAGATAGGGCGCACTTCTCTTTTTGCACGTTCAGTATTTAAGACCAAAAACTGAAAGCAAAGGTCCTATTACATTCACATACAGCAAAGTAAGCCTATATGTTCCGAGCTTCCAAAAATGGCATGAAAGTGAGAAGAGATCAACTTACATTTACTGTCAAATGGACTGAAATAAGCTGAAAATGATGACAGCACAGTGAGACTAATGCACCTTTCTAAACTGGCGCATGGAGCAGTACCTAAACCTACCGAATATCCTGGTAACCATTTGATTTTTTTCTTTTAAGACCGAGACCTACAATATTCTCGTTTTCCAATCTGAGTGCTGTGACATTTCCAATTTCAGGGGCAACACCCCACAGAAAATCTCAAAGGAAACATGAGTGGGTGTAGCAACAAAAATAGGGTGGCTGATTTTAAGGGAAATCACCAATCTAAACGAAACAACTAAATCCTTCATTGTTCTTGTCTGTCAGGTGCAATGCCGAGAAATCCAGCGCCTGACATATAATTAGTTACGATTTTTAAAATGCATAAACAAAAGCACACACATAAACAGGTACGAACGGAAAACAGAGTACTCACCAGTATATCTGCGGTGAATATACAGACATGAATTCACACCTGCTGTCACTTCTGCTGGGGGATCTAATTGCTGCCGCTTACTTCTCTTTACTTTTATTTATTTATGTATTTATTTTATTTTTTTCTCTTTGTCTACCACAAAAGCAAAACGGGATGCTCACGCAAAGCGAAAGTCACTGTTCAGCGAAGTCTCGAAAGCCTGCCCTTCAAATTGGTGCGTCTGATCAGATCCACAGCTGTGGCGGAGCATTTATGCGAGAGGCGTGTACTCGAGCAGCCAGAGACACACCTCTCCTCAGCACGAGCCAAAAATCCTCAATGGCAGCTCATTAACGACAAGAGCCAATCAGAGCACAGGCTGACTGGAGCTCATCCAGCCTCCAGCCCTGATGACGGCAAACGCGGCTGAACCCGCTCATTGGGGACGGGCGAAGAGATGCTGCGCGATGATTTGCAGTCTCTAAGGCAACTAAATGACAGCCTTACCTCCCCTTGAATGACAAAAGCACTCCAATTCGCCCGCTAGTTTATTCGTGACATTTATCCAAATGAGGAGGAAAAAAAGGCTCATTCATAAATATATTCCAAGGGCAAGTCAATGTCTGTAGACTTCGGCAACAACGCAGGATGGTATTTATTTATTTATTTTGCAAGCCTTTACTGTGTTATATCATAGAATGCAAGCACAAGATGACCACAGATTATTATCAAATTATTGTCAGCGGATTTTGTTTTCCATGACCTCACCATGCTTATTCTGTGTTTTTGGTCAATATCACATAGTCGACCTTCATACCTCACAGAATGCCTATTTGCGTTTTCCGAGCACGCCATGTACTGTACATTTATTTCAGAAAGAGCAGGTGCACTCTTCAGGGGCTGGTGATATAATGCAGGTAGGACTCCACTGCCCCCTTGTGACCAACTAAAAACAAGTTTGATTTGTTGCCCCACTCATTCAAAACACTTTGAAATAAACGCCTTTATGATACAGCAATTAGTATCTACAATATTTCTTATACGGTTCTCCTATTTAAAAACATCTTCAGTATGCCATTGACACAACATCTTGTTTCAGGCAAATTCATGTCAAACAGGCATGGCTTAGTTACTAAAAAAGAATTTGGATTGCAAAGTCTATATGCTATATTTGGCACTTGCCAGCTCTTTGAGACTTAGGTAAAAGGTAATGCCTCAGCAACAGATAGAAAGCTGAGCATTACAATATAGCTCCTCTGGGTATGAACTCCTGTGGTGCAAGCACAAAGCTGTTCAACAATGTGTCCATGTAGTTTTAAGCCCCTGCACTGTGGGCACTGTGTGGGTGTTGGAAGGGCTGCATATCTCACCGCAGTTATATTTTATTTAAAGCCCCTGCATAGTATAGGACTTTAACATTCACACCCTTGAATAGGCTGGAGCTAAAGTTAGCAGCATTTGCCACTGATGTCATTGCAGCATATTGTTACAAATATAAACAGGTATTTTCACTTGGTTCTTTGCCATCCTATATATTTATATACCATTAGCAGCTACCTTGGGTATGAGTGACTCAGCCAGTTACATCATCACATCACTGTCACATGATGTAATGGGCAGCACTGAGTTTGGCATCCCCTAACAAGACATCAAGAAACAACATATCGTTAGCTTCATAGCATAAGTGCCTAAGTCATTTTTTTGTGATTTTTTTAGGCAGACGGACAGGATAATGCAGCAGTGGTAGGGGAGTAAAGTTAGGCAAAAATCTCAATTTGACCAAAAAATGACTTAGGCACTTATGCTATGAAGCTAACGATATGCAAGATTTAAGATTCACTGACACCAAATGCCCACATGATGTCACCAGTGTCAAAGAAGTTTCCGAGAAGGGACTGAACAAGATGGGTGGCAGCCAACAGGAAAATGCTGCTAGCCAGGTTAAACTCATATTTAGTAATTGCATGAACTAATTTAAACTAAAGTGATTTGTTTTACAGCCTTCTCAATAACTGCATGAAACTATAACTGTAAGATGTTACCGCATTCACAAGTAAAACTGGATGCTGGGCTGTAAAACAAACATAATCAGTTTATAGTTACTTTTTTAGGATAACACATTTAATTTGAGTTTATAAAATAGAAATGTAAAAAATATTATTTATGTTAATTGTCCTCAAAGTTTAGCACTCAATACCTCTTTTTTCCCCCTTTATTACAGCCCTTATGCCTTTTTTCTGTAAAAAAAATTGATTTCTAAATATAGAAATAAAAAACCTGACCTATCAAAGTAATTGTGACAAAAAAGGTTAAGGAAAATATTTACGATGCTGCAAATGAATAGGTTAGAAATGATGTGTCTGTGAAGTGAGTTTTGCACTGTTTGTCAGCATAAAGCACAGTGTTTGAATACATGATTTATTTTGCAACCACACTGCATGAAACAAAAAGACCTGCTTCTGTTTGTGCATCAATGCCTCTCCTAGCCCTGATACTGGTTAATTATAATTGATGACTAGTTAATTGTAAATGATTTTAGGATTAATTACATTAACTTATCTCACAACCATGAAAAGTTAAATCTGATAATGTGAACAGTCCAAATACACAGTAGAATGGATAGTGTGTCTAAAGCAATCCTTTCCCTCACTGAAAAAGCACAGAATCAAGAGAATGGCGACCCCCACTGTTCAATTTGCAGATGTGCTCACCAGCTGCTTTTTTTTCAAGGCTTCACAAAAACAGTTGTACATCTGGCCAGGCATGGATGTCTCGGTGGAGCAGAGGGGAGGCCGAGGACCAACTGCACAATGTGTAAATGAACGAGGCCCTGAAGGGGACGGCAGTCAACAAGCACCCGTTGTGTTCCTGGCTGCTTTTCAAAGTAGGCTTAGGTTTCTTCTTGGACTATGATCATACCAAGTAATGCTGCATCTGTCATGGTCTTCTTTTATTTATTTTCGTTCTCTTTTTCATCATCACGGTTCTCTGCCTTTGCTGACATTGAGCACAGCTTTGAACAGAAACCTACTGGAGAAGCACAGTAAAGACATATTTCTCAGTCTCAAGAATGTGCAGCAGTTCTGTGTGTTACAGCCAGGAAACATGTTTTTGCAGAATAAATCTCTCCTCCATACATCAGCCCGACAGTTTCCATTTTCACATTGCTTTTTTTCCCCTTTCTTTTTAAAAAAATATGTGTTTACATCCATTAGTGTAAGCATGTGCATTCCTGTATGTTGTACCCTGTTTGGGAATATGAGTGCTTGTAATTTTTTCTTATTCATTCATGTGTGTTTGTGCATGTGTGCTGCTTAGGGACATCTGATCACCGGGCTTGCCGCACGCCACACCGCTTGCAGGTGGTCTGTCTGCACTTAGGGGCCGAGAACATTTAATATTTCATAGGAGCAGAGTACACCCCTGGACGCCGTCATTGAGTCCACATGTCCTGCAAAAAGAAAGCTGGTCTGTGAACACTCGGCTGAAATATGCGGCCTGCCGGCCCCCTCTCCACCATGCTGCTCGCTCACTTGCTGGGCCTCACAATTAAAAGCTAGCCACAGCTACAGATGTTGGCAGCTGTCTTTAACCCTTGATGTGCCACTCTGTTATTACAATCTGCTATTTTATCCTGTGTGAAATGTAGATAAAGGTCAGGTAACTTACCAGAACGTGTGTTGGTTTACAGAGAAAGAAAAGCAGAAGCCAAGAAAAAGCCAGACAAAGAAAAAAAAGGAGAGAGAGAGAGAAGAGAAAACAGCAAGAGTTTCCCAAAGCATTTCATTTTGAGAGGTTCCAGACTGAGTGTGCGAGCATGCAAGCTAAACCCTCAGCTCCAACAGTTTTAGTGCCCCCTCCAACCTCTATTCACCATATAAACAGGAAACCAAAACCAAAAGTGTTTATAACCACCTTGCAAAATCCAGTGTTAGGAATTTCAAGCTCAGGTCAGAATTTCTTTCACCATTTGTCACATTCCAGCGAGGCCAAACCTTGCTCTGTATTTGCCGTCATGTACGCAGTGGAATTGGACTTCGGCCAAAGAGAACAGAAGGAACTTCACCGGCACCATTATTCAGCAAGGTCAAACCCGATTTAGGTTTGAAACCAAAGCCAAAACAGGGCATCTTGAAACTGTTAGGAAACTATTCCAGATCTTAAACAGACCAGGGGGACTGTGTACATCTCCCTAATTGCACATGTCAATTTATGTACAAGCACTTGGTTTAGTCAAGCTCCATTACCCCCCCACCCTCCATCCCATCCCACCTCACTTCTCTTTTTCATCTTATTCACAAACTGAGCTCGGTGGATGTATATGAAAATTATAACACATGATTATGTGTGTCGCTCACACCATTAAGACGTGTATTCTTTAGTGGGGTAAACGGTGAGGTAAAGAAACACACACACACACACACACACACGCACACGGGCGCTCAAAACAAGTCGCTGAGACAAACCATTTCAATTCACAGCTTGACAGCTTGTTAATGTTGTGTGACTTGTCTGGGAACAAAAGATGCATTGCAGAAACTCAAGATTGCATGTAATTAATCCAATCCCAGCAATAACTCTCTCAGATGTTTACTGTATTCCGCTATCAGTGCTTAGGGAGACAAATGAAGACCTCACACATCCATGGGAGTCTGCTGCTTCCAGATAGAGCGGATAGCAGGGCAGGTGAAAGAGCTGTTGCTCGCTTCTTAAGCCGCCGAGCACTATATAATGTTTTAACACACTTATTATAACCCTTTAGGGATCTAACTACCATAATGCTGTCATCACCTGGTCTCAGAGCTGTGGTGCGTTTGTGTGACACAATCGTCCGTGAGAGAGAACCATGGGAGACCGACCAAAGCAAACACAAAGCAGAGATTATGTAGGCTTTCCCCCATGAGATTTGGTCTTTAATAGATCTTTAATTCACATTGATTGCTGACATAAATATTTATATATATATATTTTACCCAGTTTCATCTTTACATGGCAGGGCTGGAGCGCATATTATTTCAGACACCAGTCCTAAGCGATACTAAGTAAACACAGGGCCAGTATTGACTATACCAATATTGATACCAATACTTTTAAGCTTTAAATGCAGCTTTTGTAGGGCAGAGCAGTGTCTCATGATTTATGAGATGAATCATAATCCAATTTGCAAATTCTGAACACAATAACCACTAAATCACTGTGATTTTTACTTTCTATAATAATAAGGAAGTTAACAAAAGAAGAAACACCTTTCAGCTTGTCATATATTTTGA